ATATATTTTATATTTTTATAATTTATATATATATTTCACTTTTTAATAACTACGATAATATAATTATAAATAAAAATAATTTTTAATAACAAATATTATATTATTATACGGTAAGTATCACTACAAGTCAATATTTTTTTATAGTGTTTTCACTTGCATTCCCCCTCATTCATTCTGATTTCCAAGTTGATAAGATAAGAATGAATGAAAACACTGATTTTGTGTTTATTATTAGTTCTGATTATTATTCCATTTACATTTTACCAAAGCAACTTACAATGGAGGAGAATTTTGACAACTGATAATATCTAACCACTTGTTTAGTCCCTTCTAAAATCTGATCATTACAACCTATTCTGTATCACAGTATCAGTATTTCTCATGGTTGAAAAATACATTTTATTAAATATTTTTTTTTTCCATTTTCAAATCAAATGCAGGATTCAATGGACTATCAGCCTATGCGGGGTTTTTTGAACTGTGTAAACCCCTAAAGGGTGAAAAGGTATTTGTTTCAGCTGCTTCTGGAGCAGTTGGAAATTTGGTTGGCCAATATGCAAAGCTTTTAGGTTGCTATGTTGTTGGCTGTGCAGGGAGCCAGAAAAAGGTGAGGGAACTAAGGTTTAGGATTAAAAAAAAAAAAAAAAAAAAACTTGGGTTTTCAGCTTAAAGGCCTAATGCATGCATAATTTGTCATAGGTGGCATTGCTTAAAGAAAAGCTTGGATTTGATGATGCATTCAACTATAAGGAAGAAAAAGATCTAAACTCCACTCTTAAAAGGTTTGTTAGTCATGGCAAATCATAAAATCACACATCCATCCTGTCCTACATGAATGTAATACTACAAATTAATGGTATATTTAGATAAAGACTTTTACAAATTTAAAGAATTTAAAATTTAAGTTACTTTACTTTCAATTTCTATTATCCTTCAAATATTATTTTTATAAGTTAATTTAATTTTTTAAAATTTTAAATTCTTAATTTAGATATAGTAATTTTATTTTTACTATGATAAAATTGATTATATATATGTTTGTGTGTGTAGAGAGAGATTTAAAGATTAAATTTTATAAAAATAAATATTAATCAATTTTTAAATATTTAATAATTTTAAAAATTAATATTAGATAATATTTAATAATTTAAAAAATATTTTTGAATATTTAATAATTAAGAGATAGGGGAGAGGAGAGGGATAAAAGATATGTAGGTGAGATAAAAAAAATAGTATGAAAAATTTTAAATTCTTACTTTTTGTGAAGAATTTGAAATTCTATTATTTAAAAAAATTTCACAAATATCTAAATTTTTATTTTTATTTTTTTTTAAATTTTCCGTCCAAATAAGAAATTTCATTTTAAAAGATTTGAATTTCTTAAAAAAAAATATTTTATTTAAATTTTTCATCCAAACATACAAAAAAAAATATGTTTGGATCGAAGCCCATAAATCGCATCCATAAGAAAATATCATGTTGGACACAAAATCACACTTATTAACTTCAATGTGATAGGGATTAAATTAGACTTGATGGAGAATCAATTATTTGTATTAATTACATAGTTTGTATTTTATATTGTAGGTATTTTCATGATGGAATTGACATATATTTTGACAATGTTGGAGGAGAGATGCTGAATGCAGCAATTGCTAATATGAAAGCATTTGGAAGAGTGGCAATTTGTGGGGTAATCTCTGAGTACACTGATGATACAAAGAGGGCTTCACCAAACATGTTGAACATTGTGTACAAGAGAATCAACATTAGAGGATTTTTGGCTGCTGACTTTCTGAATGTCTTTGAAGATTTTTCTGCAAAAACTTCGGATTACCTTCGCACAGGGAAGTTGAAGGTGATTGAAGACGTGTCATCGGGCGTGGAGAGCATTCCTTCTGCTTTTGTTGGACTCTTCAATGGGGATAACATTGGGAAGAAAATTATAAATTTAGCAGAAGAGTGATCAAGGTGATGATGAACTTGATCTTTGAGAATAACATTGTTGTTTGGTTGATAGAAGATGGGGAGGTTGAAAATTCAAAAATGCATTGCAAAAGGCTTCGAAGTTACACCTGATTTTAACTTTTCCATGCATAACAAGAATAAAATTTATTCCCAGTTTTACAATTTCATCCAAGTTCCTTCTTAAGTGTCGAGTTGATTTTCAGGTTATTATAGGGAAGTAAAATATAAATCCCCATATTGAATTTGTTGTAAAAAATTAAGGCTAATTAAAGCTTATATAAGTGAGCTAAAAGCTAAAGAATATATAAATAGTTTGTTATTCAAGTGAACATCAACTAGAAATAATTTGGGAATAGAAGTAAGCAAAAAAGACCATATAAGAATATGAGCTATATGGACATGGGAAAGCTTTCAAAGGATATAAGGATAGGAAAATTTCCTTAAACCCTTTCTCCAATCATTGAATGTCATATAATTTTAATTTGTCGCATCACTTTAACAATAGTAGAAAAAGACCTTTAAAATTAATTATTTTTTACTTTTAAAAATAGTTCTTTAACAGATTTTAAAAAAGTTAGTTTTAAAAATTGGACTTTTAACATTAATTATCTATAACATTAATTATAGATAATCAAAAGAGTTTTAAATACATGCAATACATCAATGTGACTCGTTGCTCAATGAAATATAAGTCATAGCTAGTCAATATGCACTACTATAAAACATAAGTCTTAGTTAGCCAATGTAATGGTGATGGAAACCTACTTCCCAAGGATCCCTTTGGAAAAGATAATTAAGACCAATAAGGGTGAGGGATGTTAAAGTTGATTTGAAGAATTGTATTTCAGGTCAAGTAGAGTAGGTAATTTTGTCTTTGTATTAATTAAGGGTGTAATTAGTAGAGTAGGGAAGGTGTAACTAACAAAGTTTTGTTAGACTTATTTGGACTTAGATGACTGATATACCAATTTTTATACATCTTTCTATGCATTGGTTTTGGTTTATTTGACTTTTATTAGTATCATATTATGATATATTAGTTTTGATTTGTTCTAGTAAATCATTTTGATCTTAATTGTAAATTTTAGTTAATTCTCGTATTTTTTTCCTATTTTAACATTATTTCTTGTGTAGACCATATCTAGAGCTCTTGACATCAGATTTAGACATTTTTGGCATCCTGAAAAGATAAGAGAGAGTTCTACAACTTCCCTATTGGGAGAAAAGGTCAGTTTGGACATTAAATAACCCAAAAATGTGTTAAATGTTGTGATTCTGCATAGTACTTTTTCTTTTTAAATTATAATGTTAGGATTTGTTTAGTAATGTAATTAGTTGATTTAGTGGGTTGGACCTTTTAAATATTCTAATTAGTCCCACTATATTTTCTTTATTAATAAGTGTTGTGAGACTTGTTATATACACTTTACACTCATTTTTCATATTTTAGAGTTAGTTCCTTTACAAGTTTCTCTAAGTTCTCTCTTCCCTCTCTTCTCTTTATCTCTCTGAATTTTCTCTTTACATTTTTCTAGATGAAGGAACTGCAGCATCTTGATGAAGATGTGTGACTAATCATTCATTCGATTTGAGATTTCATGAATTACGGTAAAATTTGAGTTTCTAATCTATTTTTACTGTTCGAATTATATTCGTCTTCTTTTTTTCATTCTAGATATATTTTCCTTTCTTCATGATTATGAATTCTGTTTTAAGGAATATGGATCAGATTTGAATATGAATTTTGGATTTAGATCTAAATTTAGATCTAGACCTAAAATAACATAAATTGCCTAAATCTACCATTCAACATTCTTGAATTTCAAGAAAATTGTGAGATTGCGATTGTGTTTTCATATTTTTATGACATTCAATAAATCTAGATTTAGATCTACATTTTTATTACATTCATGTTGATTTAGATTGATTGAATTTAGATTATAATTTGAACTGTGAAAATTTTGCGATAATTCATGAAACCTCGAATCAAATAAATGGATTAATTACACATCTTTATCAAGATGTTGCAATTCCTTCATGTAGAAAAATATAAAGAGAAAATTCAGAGAGAGAGAGGGAGAAAGAGAGAGAGAGAGAGAGAGAGAAGAAAGGGATGAAAAATTTTAAGAAAACTTGTAGAAGAAACAACTCTAAAATCTATATAATAAAAAAATATATAGTGTACATAACAAGTCTCACAACACTTATTAATAGAGAAATATAGTGATGGAAAAATTGTAGAAGAACTGGATTGGTGTTGGTGTCTTCTCCAAGTTCCTCCCTATATCTTCGACTCCTTGATTCTCCTTAAGCTTTGTTGAAGCTTCCAATGGAGGTAGAAGGTCCAAGGTTCACCTTAGAAGGTGAAGAACACGCTCAAGTGGTGCCACTCCTTGGAGGAAGATTAGAAAATTAAAACTCAAAACAATATTGTATGAAGAGGATAAGAGAATTGGATTGAAACCAAAGAGGTTTGAGACTTTTGGAAGAGAGAAAACTCAGAGGAAATTTTAGAATTCTCTCAATAGATTCATCAAAAGTGTTTACAAAGTGAAGAAAAAGACTTATATAGTGAAGAGGTGACTTTTGGTGCAAGCTAGGCTAACTATGGTTCAAAGAGAACCGTGGTTATCCTTCTTACACTCAAGCTAACAGGTCTAGTAACTTGGAAGCTTGTGGGAGAAGCTAGAAGACCTAGGCGACCATCTTGTTTTCCTTCACTTAATCCAATCCAAAAATGTTGGAATTGGTTTAGTTAGGTTCACCTAATGAGGGTGAGACCTAGCTAAATCAATTCCTTGGATTAAATGGAGCAAAATAAGTCCAATATATAAAAATTAGCCTAGGCCCACTACAGAACCAATTGCTAGCTTCACCTACACACTTTACTATTTGTCACCCCACTTCTACTACTAAAAATATGAAAATCAATAACTCTTAATACAAGGTCAAATGGAGCAAAAGTCTCTAAACAACATACCCTAAAATCTTAAAGGGATGACCTATAAGAAAAGGAAAAGGTGTCTTACAAATACAAAGGCAAAAATACACTTATACAAGTATCTACTATATACAAAGTACAAGAAATCAAACTATACAAGGTATGTACAATAGAGACTATGAGACGAAAAAGAGGAATCATACTCAATGTTCATATAAAGCATAGGTCTAAGAAGCACCTCCTTTGTAGAAGCCTCCTCTAGCCTCTTAACCATGGTCCTTGTTAAAGGTCCAATGGCCTTCAAGTGTGAGATTCCTATTGATCAACCTTCACCCTTCTTGATCTTATTTCTTCCAAAGGGATCCTTGGGATTAGATTTCCATCATATAGTGAGCCTAATTAGAATATTTAAAAGGAACAGCCCACTAAATCAACTAATTACATCACAAAACAAATCCTAATATTACAATCTAAAAAGAAAAGGAAAGTACTATTCAGGGTCGCAACATTGCAATGCATTTTTGGGTCGCTTAGTGTTTGAACGAGCCTTTGCTCCCAACAAGGAAGTTATAGAACTCTCTTTTATTTTTTCATGGACACCAAGAACATCCAAATTTGATATCGGGAACTCTAGATATGACCTACACAAAAAAATGTCAAAATAGGAAAAAATTACGGGAATTAACTAAAATTTACAACTAAGACCAAAATGATTCACTAGAACAAATCAAAGCTAATATATCACAATATGATACTAATAAAAGTCAAATAAAACAAAAAAAATATTCATTGAAAGATGTATAAAAATTGGTTTATCAATGGGCCAAATCTTTTTATGGCCCATAGGTTTGGATCTCTACTTGCTCATGCAAGTGGTTTGGAAATCCAAACCATGCCAAGCTTGTCATCCAAGCTACAAATTAAGTCACATGACTTTGATAATGACATCTCAATAACTTGTTAAAAGTAATCATTAATCTATTAGTTGTAATGATTAGGTTAGGTAGTTGGAGTTAACTTAAGCTAACCTAGGTTATTCTTAAACTAGGATTAGCTTAACTTGCTCCATAAGCTTCTAAAAAACTAACTAGACATGTAGACATTTAAGTCGAGTTAGTTAGCTTAAGTTCAAGATAGCTAACCATGGTTACACTTAACCATGATTAGGCTTGCACTATAAGCTAACTAAACTCTATATATAGTTTTGACCTATTTTGTACTAGTTTTTGAGCATTATTAGAGTTTGGCCAAGAATTCTCTCTTGCTTTCTGATGGAAAGCTCCCTTCCATTGATGAAGAAAGAGTCAATGGGAAGAGTCTCCTTTGTCCAAGGATCACGGCACACCAAGGGAATATAGCCTTCAATGGAGGATGGGCATTCAAGGATGAAGGTTTTAGGCGTGAAGGTGGAGGCTCTCAAGGATGGTTGGCTCACTCCAAGGTGAAGGTGGAGGCCACCCTACTAAGACAATTTTTCTTCGCATTTTTCCAATTCGATGTTCTAAAATTAATTTGAATTGATTATGTTCTTCAATTAATCAAAAATGCAGTCCACAATCATGAATTGAATTTGAAATTAATTGAAGAACAAAAAAAAGAAAAGATGGAAATTTGTATTTGAGAGTAATTTACCGTGTAATCGAAAACTTGAATCGATTAATAGAACTTAGCCATGCATCTCCATTGTTATCAACTCACAAATTTGTCTAGAGAGAAGATGAAGAGTTTCGGCTAGAGAAAAGAGAAAAGAGAGAACTCATGAGAGAGAAAAGTTGAGAGAAACTTATAATGCGAGAATTCTAAAAAATGAGGTTCAAAAAAATTCATCACTCCAATGTAATTATAGTTATGTAGACAACTAAATGGGCTTAAGTCTGACTAAACAAAGCATGGCCCACTAATTAAGTCACTAATATACTAATTACAAGTCATTAAAGTTTAAACTAGAAACAACAAAATAAAACTATACTAGGCCGTAACTTTAAACTTCATTCTTAAACCTTTTCTGATTTGAATTAGCACTGGTGTTTAACAAAGAAGTTTTAGTAATCTCTCTAAGCTTTCCAACAGTACCAAGAATGTCCCAATCAAAGTTTGGGAACTCACGATATGGCTTGTACAAGACAGAGTGTTCAAGCGAGTAAAAATCTAAAAATTGTGTAAAAATTACATCATCAAATAATACTACTATCATAAATTTATTCCATGTCGTAACTTGTAAATTCT